TTTTCTTCATCTCTTTCCTCCTGCTTTTCCTCCAGCACCTGTGGGCTCTCGTCTGTCTCGTCTGCCTCAACCGTTGCCAAACCCCAATCCTGCTCTCCGGCAGTAGCATTACCACTAAGCATGTGGATCCACTATTAAGCATGCAGGGTTAAAGTATTGTATGACACCACATCACAATGGAGGGTTGGGGATGGAGATACAAAAGGAGAAAGGGGGGGAAAAAGAAAAAGAGAATAAAGTGATAAGCATATACAGGTGGCAGGTACATTTGAACAAGGAATTATTCAGTTCAGCTTTTATCATATTCTGACTGGACTTCTAAGCAGCCACAGGTATATAACACTATTGCAGAGAAATAATGAACTAGAGTACTAGCTTCCTACCATGAACAAAATAAAGCTAATGAACTATATATAAGAAAACAATGAACAAATGAACAATATTTAGGCTCTACACTTTGCTCACATATAAGAAAACAAAAAATATAGGCTTTGTTAACATGCATATATGTGCAAAACAAAAGAAACCAAATAAGGGACAGACATATTGTGTTAAGTTTTGAATTATGTTCAGGTACCTTGGTATCATGAAGACTGTCGTGAGAATGATTAAAGTGTTATTATGTTTGAATTACCAAATCCACATCTTTTTGGATTTACATGTTTTATATTGTCTAGACTGACTATCTTATCTGCCTACATGTGGCACTAAAATAACAATGAACTGTAGGTGGATCACTGCAGAAGAGTACAGAGTATAAGAGAGCATAAGCTGGCATACAAGCCACTGTTGGCCCTTAGAGTACTGTAGTACGATAATCATACTCGCCAGGAGCTGCTAACCTGTTTGACCAAAAAAAAGTTTGTATCATTGTCGGAATGATGATGATGCATCCTGTGAACCTGAGAGACGAAGAGTAGCAACAGCAGAAGTTCTATGAGGTTTTTGGCCATCAACCGCCAGGATCATTGGCTCAATGTCTTAACCCATTCACGCCGGGCGTCACATATACGTGACGGGCTCGCTGTGAGTTTACTTGTTTAACCCATTGCCGCCGGGGAAAATGAACAAAAAATGGGGAAAATACTGTGTCTATTTTCTACACTTTTTTGTTAAATGTCTGCCCATAGATGGGTCTGCTAGCGCCTGATTTGAAAAACGTATTTTTCGCTAGTGCCATGAATATCGATGGTGTCATTTTTATAATAAACATTATAATTTTTATAATGTTTTTTAACATTAGTAACAGCAAAATAAGATAAAGTAAAATATTTCTTAAATCAAAGAAACGGGTAAACAGGCGAGACGGGCGGTGCTCGTAGTTGGCTCATTGGTGATTTAGTACAAGTGTAGCCATCTATGTGTAAAAACAATCCAACAAGTAATCTCACAGTGGGCATGGCATGGCATGCACGGCGGGAATGGGTTAGTTGTTTTCACACATAGATGGCTATTTACCCTTTTCTTTGATTTACGAAATTATTTTGCGTTATCTTATTTTGTTGTTACTAATGTTTAAAACATTATAGTAAATATAATGTTTATAATAAAAATAACCATCGATATTCATAACACTAGTAAAAATACATTTTCCCGCCAATTCAAGTTAGGGTGAAATCAGGTAAGGCAGAGCCATCTAGTGTAGAGAAATTAAAAAAAAAAATGAGCACAGCATTTTCCCCATTTTTTGTTCATTTTTACCCGGCGCGAATGGGTTAAGTGTAACTTACTTTTAGCCTTAGAATTCAAAGATAACTTTATTGCACCAGATTCCACCTTAAGACTAACTTAACTGATTCCCACAGCTTAGCCTGCTCTTTCATTACTAATTCAACAGCATAAAACAATATTAACATCATAACAGGATAAAAAGGAGATAAAATATAAAGAGATTTGATGTCTAAGGAACTCATTATACAAAAGCAATGAAGAATCGGCTGCTTGTAAATAACATCTGACCCGACTTCCCTCCTCGACACGCTCGTTACGCCTGATCTTGTGAGTGTTTCTCGTTTCAAATCGATCAGGAAGAGCCGTAACTAACCATGATGACAAGGTGAACAGCACAAGAATTAAATAGTCACAGAGGGCAATTACAATGTAACTGAAGGACTTCCAATAAACTGAATTAGTAAAGTCATAGCATCTTGCCTGATAACAGAGCATGAAAGGTCTTGTGAGTAAAGCTTTTAATAAAGTCTACAGTACCCTAATGCAGTGCTCTTCATTAGTCATTAATATAAGCAAAATTATGAACAATTAATTAGGACACCAAGTTGCGGCATCATCTTTAGCAGCAGAGAAAACAAGGGTACTATTCACGGCTCTATACTCAGCTCTTTTCCAGTGACTTGGAAAAAAAATTCCCTCTCTTGAATTGCTATGACAGTATCATTCACTTTGTATTTCCATTGCAAACATATGATTATCAGAAAACAGAATGAAAGTAGTTTGTGATCTATTGTACCTCAAGGCATATAGTGTGGTACACTAAAAATAAAAATATTCAAACCAATTACAGCTTTACACAAATATAAAAAGCTGATAAAACATTGTCAAAGCGAGAATCTAGCTTAGAACATTTCAAAGTAAATATGAAAATAACCTGCTCTTTAAAATTTAAGCACTATGTAACTAACTGATAAGAAAGCACAAGTTCAAACACTCCAAAAATTCAAACAGCACACTTCATGCAAAAAAAAAAAAAAAAAAAAAAAAAAAAAAAAAAAAAAAAAAAAAATAATATATATATATATATATATATATATATATATATATATATATATATATATGAATATATATATATAAAAATAAAAATAAAAATGAAAAAAATCTCAATCAGGTTAACTGGAGATGAACAAATATGGCTTCGAGAATCAAAGATCGATAAATTTAAATGATCCAGCCATGTTATTTTTTCTCTGATCTCTCTCTTTTAATCAAAAAGATATAAAAAAAAAAGTGTGGTTGTTGCATCTCGACTCGTTTCACCTGATTCAAGTCACACATGGGTAGTGTTGCCATACTTACCGGAAGAGGAGTTATTTCGTTCTTGCGATTGAGTTCTGCCAGCACGTTGGAGACAAAGTCGTCCCACTGGGTGGCTTTATCCCCAGGCAGGCCCTGCAACAGTCACAACATTACAAATAACCTGAGCAACAACGGCAGACCCACCTCAGAAATGACACAAAATCTAAACAAAATATTCTTTAAAAATATGTGAAAAACACAGGAAGAAGAAAGAACAACAACAAGAAAAAAAAGAGAGGGGAAAAAAAAAAAATCTTTTAGTTACTCTAATAAGAAGAAAGGAAAAAGAAAGACAGGTCATTACTGTTAGTTTTTTCCTAACTGTTATTAATGAATCTTTTTACCTATTACTCTGGGCATACAAGCAATAACACTGATCCCTATACAAAAGGAATATACTATACTCTTTAAAAAATTTGTAGCACATCAATTGCAAATCTTACCTTTTGACACTACCCCTCCCCCCCCAAACAATGAACCTACAAAACCAAATGGCTACAAATTTATTCTTCATGACTGAATTCCAGCTATTCATTTTAACTTATTTTATCCAAGTGACATAGAGGAATGCTATATATACTGAATATTCATCCTTTTTGATATACACAACAATCAAAAGTGAAAGCAATTAGCTTTTTATTTCCAAAATAACAAGATATCTATCCCTCTTGATCACCTTAAAAACATAAACAATATACAAAAGTAAACAATCAAATACCTGTATAAGCTGCTTTATGCGGTGTTCATTTGGACCAAACTCTGCTTGCTGTACAATAGTGTTAGCCAGTTGTCGTAAATGACCCATGTGTATCTGTTTGCATCTGAAAGAGAAAAATAAAGTTTAGTTATTTGAACACTCTACAAGGTTTTAAACAAATCAGAATGTGAGAGAGAAAAGAAAAAGAAAGTTGAGAGGAAAGCAAACTTTTCATACCTCCTTCAAATTATAAACCAAAAATCTCTCTCTCTCTCTCTCTCTCTCCCTCTCTCTTTCTCTCCCCCCCCCTTTTTTTTGCTAGCTCCTTCTATACTCAAAACACCCTTCTGCAAATTCACATTCACTTACTCTTGTCTTTCGCTGGACTCATCAAAAGCTTCTAACACGCGCTCAATGATGCGTCCGTCATTGAAGAGCTGGGTGAGCAACCGGTGGTCTGTGTCGCCTTCTGGAGAGGATGCTGCTGGGGCCTTTGTCAGAATGGCGGTCAGGCACTGCTCCACTTGGGTGTGTAAGAAGTGGTTCAACATAAATTTGAAAAACAAGTCCTGAAAGATGAAACATTTGTCAATATTACCATTGCTATAGACTGACGTTATATCACGAATCCATTCACTATCGTTTCAAGCCACGTTATCTTCTTTATAGGACTCCCTTTCTTTTTTCTTTTTCTTTTCTTTAAATCCACAGAGGATTCAGAAAAATACTATAAAAATTAAAACAATAATTATAAACCAAGATAGAGTTTAAAGTATTAAAGATGAGGATGATGAACTTTTTTTTTTCACATCTCCAGAGAGAAGGGAGTTCCTTACCAACAGATATTCAACTGTATTAAGTTCATAAAGCGAATCATGGACTACAGGGTCACTGAGGGCAACCAGAGCAGTGACCAGCGACACGACCTGAAGGTGGGTATTTCCCAGGGGCTCCACTTCCTGGCTATACGCAGGCAGTAACAACGCTTTCTGAAACGCCAATTGTCATTATGATAAGAAAAAATATGAAGAATTACAAAAATTATTATTAAAAATACTTGAGATTTCTTTTGTTTGGTCTGTGCTTTATTTTTTTTTTATTTTCTTTTTTGTAAAGAAAGAAAAGGGAGGGGGGAGTGTTACTCATTTTCTATTATGCTTAAAAACAATACTATTATTTCAATTTCAATGCAAGACTGAACATTCCATTTGATGAAACTAAACACCATTACTGCCATCATCCTTGATTTCATAATGAAAGGAAATTTTCAGTAACAAAAAGAGATTTATATCTTGCAATACCTCCAAAAAAATTATCTGTACTGTTATACAAGTCTCAGTCAATAACAATTCTGGTTCTTTTTCTTTTTTGAGCACATTAGTTACATTCTCAGATTGATGCCCTGGAGAATACATATAAAAAATACCATGAAGCTTAACATCAAACGTACCATCAAAGTATCAAAAATCACAATATACAAGATATACAAAGCCAATAATAGCCCCCAAAAAGCACACACCAAAGGGTGGTGAAATTCACTGTTGAAAAGTCTCTTCCAGGTGCACACACACACACGCACACATGCATGCACGCACGAGCACACACACAAAAAACAAATAAAAACCTTTGGTGGGTGTAGTAGAATGTTTTGAAGACTTGGTAGACGTTTGGCAATAATTCTTGCAACAGCATGTTTCCTCCCGTCACTTGATTCACTATCACTTGAATCAACGGCTGCATACTGTTGCAACCTGAAAAAATCACGAGAAGTTTGAGCACAAAGTGAAACTGAGAGGATTCATTAAACAGTTCACATACTAATCACCTATTTCACAATAAATGCAAACAATCAGCTGATAATAACAAAGTACTCAAGGAAAAGAAGAAAAAGAAAAAACTAAAGAAAGAAAAAAGGAAAGTATCTACAATTTCACAGCAATTTCTCGACAGTTACTAGCTAAAGACTAAACTTCTCCTTTTGCCCCGCTTTTACTGCCTTTATCCATCCTTCTGCCTGAGTTTCAGCACAAGTAAAGCAATAACACCTTTTAAAATTATACTTAAGGAAAGCACTACGAAGATCCACCGAATGGCACTTCAACTTTAGAAATAAAATAAGTAGATCAAAATTTACTTCTAAAACAATAGAAACATTTCTTCCATAAACTGGATGCAATACAAGTGTTGCAAAATTAGCACGAACAAAAATAATTACCCTTGTTGCTGTTGCTGTAGATGCTGAATCTGCTGCTGCTGTGTTCGAGCAGACAGGAGAGTAAGCAGGATGTTGATCACGTGAGAAAGTGAAGAGTCGTTCCGGTCTTCGTGGAGGAGTAAATCTAGCAATTTATTTACTGTGTCTTCACTGGAAACACATAAAAAAAGAAAAAGGCTTTAGATGATGATAATGCCATAAATCACATTTCTCTTCTGAAGAAAAATGATACTGTAGGACAATTCTCCAGTGCACAGATCTTAATATATATATATATATATATATATATATATATATATATATATATATACATATATATATATATATATATATATATATATGTATATATATATATATATATATATGTATATATATATATATATATATATATATATATATATATATATATATATATATATATATATATATATATATATACATATATATATATCTTAGAGAGTCAATATGGTTGACACAAAAAGAAGGCCCATGTAGGCCAATAATCAAAGTGCATGAAGGCCACTAAAATACACTCACAGAATGAGGGTGTGAGGGGTGAAGAACAGTGTAAACAAGTCCATAAAATATAAGGAGACAAACCTGTCCCAACCAGACTACAAAGCAAGTGTTTCAGTAAGTCAATAATGTTTAGAGACACATGACTCTACAAAACCACTTCAGTGCCTCTTATCTTCTGTCCCACCACACATTCTGAACTCTAACCTCTAATCAGGACTGATGCCAAACATTTTTTGGGTTGAGACGGCTCCAACATATTTGGAACTAAATCAACATCTCCCTTATCCTTTGCAATAAAAATCTTAGTCTTGAATGTCAAGTAAACTTTTTTTTTCCCTTAATAAAAAAAAGAAGAAGAATTTGTTAAAATGGAAGGCTGATGTATGCAGTATTCAATAATATAATATAAAAAATGAAAATCAAAGAAATTTAAAACTAAAGATGAAATGAAAGACATGGCTTTGCATTGTCTAATTTAAACAATGTCCAGTTAATACTTTGTAAGAAAATACTAACAGCACCTTCAAATACTTTGAGGCCAGAGTTTGTTTCAATATTAAAAAAAAATATTTGGCATAAAAGAGGCATAATAAACTGAAAATGTCTCTTGGAAGAGACTGAAGTTAATCATAATGCCATTGTTATTTAGTCTCATAAAAGTAGAAGTAGCTCGATATTGGCACACAACACTGTTGACTACTTTGCTAGGTCTAACTAAACGTGAAACTTACCAGCCAGTAAATAAATAAACCCCATTTCGAAAATATGAACAAACCACTTAAAACACGTCCATGACATGAAAATGCCAACTCACTCACCTTTCCAAAGTCGCCCGAAGAGGGTTAGTCTGCTGGTGTCCATCGGTGGACGTGTCCCTGCAGGAGGTGCTAATTTCGCAGAGGAGATTGTCGGCACTGGCGTGGTCCTCTGGGTCAGCATCTGGTGATAACTTGTCTACTAGCCGCTCTACTAGTTGGCCCTCATTCAACCACTGGATGATCAAACTCAAGTCAGACTTTTTCTTCTATCTTTTGCAGAATTTACATGAATGCAGCCATCACAAGATTTTTAAAAATTTTCTTTGGAAAGGGAGTGATGTTCTATATATGTACACATTCATGAAAATAGGCAGAGAGAGAGAGAGAGAGAAGGGTAATAAATGATGACTATGATGATGATAAGTAGAAAAAAAAGAAAAAAATTATTGATATATTAAAAAATCCCAACAATTACTGCAAAATTACATAATATCTCTGCAATTCCCATATATTCAGCTTTTTCTCTTTCTAATCACTCAAGTATTCTTATGATTTAGCTTTTACAGACAACTACAATCTCCTTTTGATACTATACTATTAACCAAAATGTTGATGGGTTTTACCAACACCAAACCAAACACAGCTAGCTGCTAAGTTTTCCCTATCGTTTGTGATTTTTCAATAAAAATAAAAGACCAAAAAGGCAAATGACTGTAAAATACACACAACACTGAGCCCACTTGACCACCATGGCATGGATACATGCCTTCTGGGTATATTGGCTTCTTGCTCCATGGCAAGAACAGGTGCCTACTGGTGCCAACAAGTTAAACTACCTACAGCAGGATCACTCGTCTTCGTACTGCAAGCCATGGGTTGGGCACCAGGGCATCACGCAAATTTGTAAAGCTCTCTATGCTCATGGCTGTGGCATAAACAACTGTTTAGGTAATGAGGCTAAAGAAACTTCAAATGTACTTTTGAGGAACAGTTTCTCCTCAATGACTGCAGCCAGCGAACAACTGCTTAGCACCATAACTTACAGCAGGCTTGACTGGGCACACCATGAGGGGACACCAACACAGTGCAACTGATGGTTTAATCATGTGATAGGACTTCATCCATTGTCAGTGGGCTAAAGAAATCCTTCCTTTTTCTTACCTTCATAAATTTTCAATTGCAAACATACATACTTTCAATACAAAGAAGGGATTTGCCAAAAGATGATCTATATTTTTCATTCAACAGAGACAAGGTCATTATTCATTCAGTCTCCCAATGTAAGATTTATCTTAGACCCATAGTAATCAAGTGAAGACCACTGACCCAGTCATGATGTGGCTTGTGGTAACAACCAGGTACAGTCTCATTATGAACACCTTTGTCATGCAATACTTCTCAAGAAGACCTATTCATATTTCAAACAAATAACTTTTCATTATGTAAATTACTAGCAATCTCTGACTTTTGTAGAGTTTTCTATTATTAACCATCAGTGAATTAATGCAGAGTTCCTGAGCCTCAGCCGTGTTAGAATATATTCTGTCATTTATTAAATGGTTAACACTTATATGCATTTTCTCTAATTATTTTGGTTAACATCTAGGACTTGCATCCACTAAAAACTTAACTGCTTCACTACTGTAAATTAAGTGGGTTCTAAAAAGTAGGTTTCCCTTAACCCAATGGCACCAGGTATTATAAAGGAAAAAATAACTCTACGGGTTAGCAAACAAAGGCGACACTCCGACTTTGAGCGCGTGAGTAGGGGACATCAGCCCGAATCACTGGCTCGCCGCGCTTTGGCGGGCCACCGGCTCGTTTGGCTGCATGCCAGCTTTCGAGCGCTTTGTTTACACGCCGATACTCGTCACCCGGCACCAAGGGGTTAATGCATTGGTCAAGGGTGATCTGACAAGTAGAAAATTCTTAAGATTTTAATGATTTTCTTTACACACATTTAACCATGAAAAAAAATGTCTGAGAGGAAACAGTGGTCTAGCAATTGATCCTAGGTACCAAGAGTACAATGGTGGCCATAGGCTTGTTTTTCAAAAACTTTGGTGTTTTCTTCCTCAGAGCGTTGGGGATTTGCAGTCCTGAACTCCTTGACATTGAAGTTGCTCTTGTAATGGATTCATATATGAAACAAATACCCTGGAGGCTGCCTTCTGAACCTCAGAAAGAAAGCAGAAAATATACTGACTAGACCAAGACCAGACCTTGCACCCACTTCTAAATTCCTTGTCTTATTGCCATGTAATATTTCCAACGTAATTGGTAAATATTTTGGCAATACTGTAAAAATTCCCAGCACATCCAGTGAAAAGATTTTTGATAGAAAGTTGCCAGCAAACAACCTGACAGTGCTGTATGCCGCACACACTGCAGCAAAGGTGATAGAAAGTATTCAGGTGAAACAGGATGAGGTTTCAGCAAACATTGTGCTAATATCTGGCACCACAGAATATATGCTGGACTAGAAGCAAGAAGATGTGATCCATGGAGGACTGAATAAACAAAAAAGGAAAGTAATGGAAGCTGCATAAGTAGCAACTGAGTAGAATGTAAATATTGCATAGGGCAGTTCCAAATAATTTAAGATCGTGCCAACAATTATGCAGGTAATGAGTGATAGGCTGAGGATGTAAGGCCATTCTTCAGCTCATGTCTAATAAACATATCCTAATACATCTAACTGTTGTATGCATTTTTCAAAAGACAACTGAAACTGGTCAAATACACCTCTTACACTCTGAAGATATTAATCCTCATTCATGCCTTTTTTACATTTGTTGCAATGAGCACTTTTTCATCATTGTAAGTGTACCAGGAAAAGTCTGAAATTATGACAAAGCTTAAGCCATCAATAAAGATGTTGCAACATAAGAACAGAAAAAAAAAACTGATAAATTAAGAAATGCTGTTTGATGTCAAATGGTGTGGTAACTTTCAAAAACGTATCAATCAAAAGGTGAAATTTCATGTTAATCTGAACATTTAGAAGCAGAAGAAGAAGAAGGAGGAGGATTAGGTGCAGATTCACGGTAGACCAAGAGTGAACAGCTAGTCCTCCATTTCAAAAGTAGAACACATACATGGCATATACATTGCATGAAACATGGTTAAGTGACTTAAAGCCCACTTTTAAGTAGCTGAGCCTTGGCCAAACAGTTTACTAAACAAAACTCAGAGCAGACTAAAAGTATGGGGCATGCAAGTACCTCCTGTTAGCAATGAGTTAAATTTTGAGAAGTGGAATTTTTTCTTTATAAAAATAATGAAACATTTTGCAATCTCTTAAAAAAAGTTTTACTGCAAGAAACTGGACATCTAGCTCTTGTTTATTGAAAACACACGTCTGTTTTAATTTTGTAAGGAATTTGCAATAACTTCTGCAGTATACCATAGCAGATTTTTCCATGACAAAAACTATAATGAATTTTTGAAAGCATCTGATCAAAGATCAAATGCTAGGATAAAATGATATACCTCAAGCTAATAGCATGGAAACATAAATGCAAATGTGGGCGTGGATAAGCACACACACACAAAATCTCACTACAAATATACATAGGGTACAGTCATCACAAAAAATAATTTTCAGATCAGATAATCCATTTTGTATTATAAAGATGACACAATGTCACTTGTACTAGAGCTAGGATCCAATCACTATGCATGTTTCTTAACTTCCGTTGTATTAAGATTTCCAGTGTGAAAAACAGTTTAACAACCTACTCTTTTCCAAGTGATTTTAAGATTTTTAAGGCAAACTCAATCAAACTCACAGCCAGAAACTGCTTCAACTTTTATACCAGGAGAAATCAATTAGAAATGCCTAGGGTATTTTATTTGAAGGAGAATAGGTTAAAAAGGTTTCAGATCAAGCACTTTGACATTTTCTAGTGATGATGATAATGATAAGGAATGAGAATAAAAAGAAAAAACAGAAGGTGCAAGAACAAAAAAGCAACTAAAAAAGAAACAATAATTCCATACTATACAGAATATTCTTCAAAATCCATCACATTCAGTTCTAGCATCTGGATAATGTGGAAAACACCTTTTACATGGTGTTGCACATCACAATTTTAACCCAATGCCAACGGGCATGACATGTACGTATGAGCTATGCCCACTGTGAGTAATTGTTTTATTGTTTTTACACACAGATGGCTACACTTACTTACTTAGTAATGCCTGTCTCCCTGTTTACCCTTTTCTTTGATTTATGAAAATATTTTACGTTATCTTATTTTGCTGTTACTAATGTTTATAACATTATAGTAATTATAATGTTTATAATAAAAATAACACCATCAATATGCATAGCACCACTAAAAAATACATTTTTCCCGCCAATCAAGTCACGTAAGGTCACAAAGTCTACTAATTGACTCCTTTGTGATTAAGTAATAGCAGAGCCATTTATGTGCAGATACATTTCACTAAAATATAGAAAATGAGCACAGCATTTTCCCCTGGCGGCATTGGGTTAACTCAACTTCTGCAATGGAAAGAAAGAAAGAAAGAATGAAAGAAAGAACAAGAACAAATATTGGGCTTACCTGATGTACTCTCTGCCGGATTTTGTCCTCCTCAATGTTACAGATAAGTTTGAGCAGCAAATCCATAATAGCTGAGGTCCCTACATGTTGTACAGCCAGTTCAACAAAATCACCTTTGGATTTTAAAAAGTCCAATACCTGGAAGCAAGTGAATTGATAGGAATACCAGTTCTAAAGAGAAGAGAAGAGAAAATACACTTTATAAGAATGTGTTGAGATGGAGCTTTGAGACATTTTACAAGTCAGGCACTCCTCTTTCACTTCCTTAAATTTTGAGGATAAAACAAATGAACAATCATCATCCATCCTTACATATTAAATAGTATCATAATTCCAGAAATCGAACAAACACATTATATACACACTAATTAATATTCAGACGACCTTAATGTGCCAATTCGTCGTTATCCTACAGAACACGCATGAGTATATATCTTGGACACCAAAAAATTTAAACTAAAGGTCCTAAATGAGAAGAAGAGAAAAAAGAAATTTTCCAAGGGCATTAGACAGAAAAGCAAAAAGAATGAAAAATTACATACATAGGTACATAATTCATCATTCCTATATAAATTTCTTTGCTATATAACTGCATATCAGAGGTATAAGAGATGTGAAAAATAAAAATAAACTAGTTAAAAAGAGAATCCAAGACAATACAAGCTCTTGTAGAGTTCTGAATGCAGGTGTTGTCAACATTGTGTGTGCATCAAAAGCAAAAAATCAGAGACAAGTAAGTACATCCATGTGTGATTTTATAAAAGCAGGAAAAGAAGGCATAGGAAACATTGATGGCAGAGCTACCTAGTAGTAAAGGCGCACATCCAGGCTTACATTATACTTCTGGGTATAGAGAGATGATTACAAAGGCTGTACACTGCCAAAGTAACAGTACTGTGGGTAAAACTTCACAGATGCATACCAACTACAGTATGGGTTGGCACACACAACTGCAGTCTGCAAGAGTAAAATACTTCTTGCATTCTTGTTATTGTCTGTGAATAACGAGAAAATCCATATGATACAACAAGCAGAATGATGCCACTTCATGATATGGATTCTTCCCTTCGAAGGGAGGCTTGTTGATTACTTCAAGTTTTTCAATAAACTTTGAAGTTATAATCTAGAGAGGGCTTTTGGAATATTTTGGAAAATGAAGACTTTGCCATGGGAAATTATA